GCTCCATGACATGCTTTTTGACGCTGGTTCCAGACCGCCCACAAGCATGGGAGGTGGAGCAGGGCCCACACGCTGACCACCACTGATTGATGGGTAAGCGGTGGCCCGCCTTTTGTGCTTTCCGGGTGTCGTTGAGGTATCGTTCAGAGTATCGTTCAGACAGCCCTCCAAAACCAGAAAAATGTTGCCCATATTCTCTCAGTCCAGGGCATGTGCCAAAACCAGCTACACGTTGCGTGCGTGCGCCTCGCAGCCCGGACTGCTGTCCGGTGACTTGGTAGTTGCAAGCGAGACTTATAAACAACTTGAAGCACAGCAGCACCATGCGAGCACGAGGGGTGTGGTTTCGGTGTCGTTTTGGGTATCGTTTTGAGCCAGCAGTACTTCGGTGGCCAAAAATGCAGTTCACACTCCCCGAATGATCCGAAAAGGTGTTTTCGACGCTCCAAAATTACTTTTGGGTATGGTTTGGCGTGCCGACTGTGGCGCCTGCGGGTGCAAGCAAGAAGCATGAGCAGTAGGAAGGAAAGCAATCGGTGGCCCAGAATGCAGTTCACACCCCCCGAATGATCCGAAAAGGTGTTTTCGACGCTCTAAAATTACTTTTGGGTATGGTTTGGCGTGCCGACTGTGGCGCCTGCGGGTGCAAGCAAGAAGCATGAGCAGTAGGAACGAGAGCAATCGGTGGCCCAGAATGCAGTTCACACCCCCCGAATGATCCGAAAAGAAAAGGTGTTTTCGACGTTCTAAAATTACTTTTGGGTATGGTTTGGCATGCCGACCGTGGCGCCTGCGGACGCAAGCAAGAAGCGTGAGCAGTAGGAAGGAGAGCAAGCAGTACTTTGGTGGCCCAGAATGCAGTTCACACTCCGCGAATGATCATAAAAGGTGTCTTCGACGCTCCAAAACTACTTTTGGGTATGGTTTGGCGTGCCGACTGTGGCGCCTGCGGGTGCAAGCAAGAAGCATGAGCAGTAGGAAGGAGAGCAATCGGTGGCCCAGAATGCAGTTCACACTCCCCGAGTGATCCGAAAAGGTGTTTTCGACGCTCCAAAATTACTTTTGGGTATGGTTTGGCGTGCCGACTGTGGCGCCTGCGGGTGCAAGCAAGAAGCATGAGCAGTAGGAAGGAGAGCAATCGGTGGCCCAGAATGCAGTTCACACTCCCCGAGTGATCCGAAAAGGTGTTTTCGACGCTCCAAAATTACTTTTGGGTATGGTTTGGCATGCCGACTGTGGCGCCTGCGGGTGCAAGCAAGAAGCATGAGCAGTAGGAAGGAGAGCAATCGGTGGCCCGGAATGCAGTTCACACCCCGCGAATGATCCGAAAAGGTGTTTTCGACGCTCCAAAATTACTTTTGGGTATGGTTTGGCCCTTCCAGCAACCTCCAAATAGCAAGCCGGGGAACGCAGTTTTGAGTAACAAGCCGGGGAGTGTAGCTTTGGTCAAAAGCACCCAATAGGCGCATCTTGAGTGTCCAGTGGCTTGTGGGTATGGTTTGGCTGGCTTGTGGGTATGGTTTTGCCCTTCCGGCAACCACAAAAACAAGGCGTGCAGTTCCGGAACCCAAAGACCAACCCCGCCTTGATAAAGTGATCGACGCATATTTTGACCGTGACTCATGAGCCAGCGTCAATATTTGCTGTGTGGGCTGTATTCATTCTACTGTCAACGAGTCCCCTATGGTTCTCCGCGTTTCGCGCGTGGGTGCAGTGCCCGAAGAACCCTCTGTTCGGGTCTCGCGAGCGCGCAAAGCGCCCAATGAACCCTCTGCGAGGATTGCGCGTGTCAAAGCGCCCTCCGTGCGACGCCGTGCGGATTTGGAAAGTGCCGGGCGAACCCCCTGCAGTGAGCAATTTCTGCGGCAGCACTCTTGGAGCTCGGGCTCTTCTCCAAAGCCTTCCGGATCACAGATCTGCTCGGGTAAGTCAGGCCTTCCCATCCTCCTGCAGCAGCAGATCTCTGAGGAGCAAACGCAAGGCGTCCGCGGCCTGGCCCGTTGCGGGCCCTTTGTGTGCGCGGAAGGATGTGCGCTGAAGGAGCTGCGCGTGTGGTTGAAAAAGCAAACGCACCAGGTAGGCCTCACATTGGCTGCTCCGGGACGTTCTCGGAGTATCGATGGGGTGTCGTTTTGGGTATCGTTCTGGGCACGTGTAGTGTCACGAAAAAAATCAAACTTGCTATAAGCTAGAGACAAGCAAGCGCACAAGAGCCTTCTCTACCTTGCGGTAGTCATGTGATCAGCGGACTAGACTATGCTTCTGGCTCCCAAGCATTGGCGGCTTTGCTTGCTGGCTGCAACTTCCAGGTCGCAAGTCGCAACTTTCAGTACCAGCGCAGTACGCAAGTTACACTTTGGCAGCTCCAGCTCGAAGGTCGCAGCGTGCGCCGGTGCCTGCGGGCGCCTGTGCGTGTGCGTGTGCGCGGGTGCGTTAGCGATCCATCTGGGTGGGCCCATCTCGCGCACACATGTGCTCACCATGCATTGCCGAGGAGCATTGACAGGAGCTGTCATGGCAACTTACAGCTTGGGGCAAAAAAAGGCTCACACAGTGCAAAATAGAAGCGCGAAGCGCCAGTTGCACGTCATGCGACGTTATCGTTTTTGGGGCTTCGCTATATCGTTCCTGAGGAAAAATATAAAACAAGCAACGCGAAATCGCCGAAGACATATTTTATGGCGAGAGAGTTTAGCCTTTTGCTCGCTCATTTAGTGTAAGATGGATAGATGGATGGATGAATGAATGAATGGGTAGATGGATGGATGAAGCGATCAGGGGCACGCGGCCGTACGATGCGGCACCTCCTTGAAGGCTTCTTCGGCGGCATGGCGGGCCGCGTAAGCTACTGTGGGACTTGGTGGCAAATTGCTGCGCTGTGTCTGGAACACGTCTGGAACGGGTCTGGAACGGGGTCTGGAACGGTTACGCGAGTGGCTTGCACTTGGTAGCAAGCTGCATGTAAACATGGTCGTTTCAACAATGTGACGACCGAGAGCGGTATCGAACCGTTACCGTATCGTATCGAACAGATTGCGGCGGGGTTGACCCTTAACATTCACAGGCCGTTCCCAAAACACATCTGTCAACAGGACCGCTGCTTAATTCCATCCAAGTCCCAATGATTACAAGCCACGCAGCCCCAACCACCAAAGCTCGACAAGCAAACCCCATCGTTAGCACCTCAGGCTTCTCTCGAACACCAGCCTTAACGCGTAGCATTTGGCAAAACAAAGGGGGGAGTCAATAACCTACCAAATCACCTTACCGTAAATACTCTAAACTAGACATAAATATATATATATATAAGGTCTGGAACGGAAGGTCTGGATCATGTTTCTAGGCAAGGTCTGGAACGGAGGTCTGGAACGGAGGTCTGGATCGCATGTGGGTTCCGGACCCTGTTCCGGACCTTATAAATTGACTCGCAGCCAAATGACACGATGTCATGTCGTCTCTTCGGCTGCTTCTGCTAGGAGGCATGATCCGGAGAAGCTGATTCGCGCACGAATCCCGAATCCCGAATATCGAATCCCGAATCCTGAGTCCGAGACTGGGGTGTTCCCAGTCCCGAATCCCGAATCCCGAATCTCGAATCCCGAACCCCGAACCCCGAATCTCGAATCCTGAATCCCGAACCGCGAATCCCGAATCCCGAACCGCGAATCCCGAACCGCGAATCCCGAGTCCGAATCCCGAAATGTGACTAAATCCCGAATCCCGAAACTGCGCACGACCTCCGGATCACCACTCTCTGCTAGAGTCTTGTTTGCTCCCTATCGTGCACCTGGAATCTGTTCCCCTTTGTAACCAGCCCATGTAAAAATGCAGAGGTCTGGGGCGTTCACCCCATGTTTGCCCGCCTCATTCTGGCTTCTCTGCCTTGCGCCCTTGTCCTGACAGGGCAGCCAAAGCAACAATGACAACTGCTGCAAGCTGCTGATGAGCCGCACGCCTGTCTCCACTCCAGCAGCTCCTCATAAAGAGCTCGATTCTCGATCCTGCGCAAATGAAAGGCCCCCCGGCCCACACGCAAAGGGAGCAAGAGGCCAAAGCTCCTAAGGGCGTGGGCTTCATTCTCGCGCGCGGGCATGTCATAGGACCTAACAGGGACCAAAGTGAGGAATGGTTAGATCCAAGTATCTAAGAGGCCCGCTCTGCCAGCTCCTCCTTCACAACCAACTGCCTCAGCTTTTTTTCCGTGCCCAAACCCGGAAATCCTGGCACGCCAGGTCTGCGGCGGCCGCTGTCCCCGGGCCATGTGAGCAGGCGGCGGTGCCTGGACACGACCAAATCTATCTGCTTCAAGGCTGGGCTGCCTGCCTGTGGCGGTTTTGGCACCAGCTTCTTCGGCGGCATCGACGGCCTCTTGGCAGCAGTCGCCAGACACGGCAAAGCGAGTAGCACACGAACACACAAGCCTACCAAAGCCCTTCCATCATTCGTGCAGGATGCTGCCAAGCCAATAAACGTATCAGCGAGTAAAAAGAAAGCGGGCAATGCTTGCAAGACAAGGGGACCTCGTTTCCCTCGCGTTTCCCGGGCCTGGACTTTGACACCAGGAGGCCTGCGGCTGGCGCCACTGGAGAGGCCATGGCTGGGTGTGGCACATAGCCACATGGCCACATGGCGCAGGGCCCCCATGCCGACCCAGTCTCAGTGGCTTTTAGATGTGGGACATTGTAGGCCCATCGTCTACCCCTTGGCGACGTGGCTACTTGCCCCTTGGCTTAGGCGCAAGTGAGAACATGAGCCCTTTCCGCTCTGGCGCCAAGCATGTTGCAAGATCCTATGGAGGCCGGCTGCACAGCGTTGGTGCGTGGTGCGCTGTGTGCTTTGGCATAGTTGCGGTTTCCAAGCTTGAAGAGGCCCGCGCCATCGAAAGCAGAGCTTTAAATGCCTAGCTCTCCCTCCTCTCCAAAACCAAGGCACACATCCGTGCTTCGATGCCACCATTCACCACACACGCAAGTTCCCTCAGCAACAGCTGTGGCTAATGCAAGATGGTGTTGAGGCGAACATACGCCTGAGCCATCAGGAGTTGAACAAGCTTATTGACCAAGACGGGCTGCAAAATAATACAACCAAGGAGCATATGCAGTGATTTCAATTGGGCCAGCAAGAAATCACATGCGGCGCCTGTCCGCTGCGATCACCAATGTCTTCCAAAATCCATATGGCCTGCCACGCCCAACACTACGCAGCGTTGACTGCTGTGAGGGCGTGAGCAATGGTGCAATCAGTGCACGACCTCCTAAGAATTGGCGCCCTGTTCCAGATGTTTGAGATTCATCCTATCGGGGAGCCTCCTGAGCAGCTTGTAGCGCTTCGGGGTAGTGCTTCAAGGTGCAGTGCAAGGCTGCCTAGGGATGCTTGGATGCCCCTCACGCCGGCCAAAAAGGCGGGGCCGCGACCACCGAATGCAGCATGATTGCTTCCCAGGGCAAATCCTGACAGCCACCAAACAAATCACCCAGTGTCCCGCCAAGCCAAACCCTTCAGCTTGGGTAGCTCCTCGAGGGACTTGATGAGGTCCAGCGCTTCCGTGGCCGCCTCCAGCGCCTCGGGGGGAAAACACCAGAGCCCGTCTCCCATACGCGCCATGCGCGCCATGCGCGGCATGCGCGGCATCAGCGCCTCCTGGGGCCGCCTCATGCCGTACAGCACCGAGCCGATCTGGTCCAAGGCGATGGCCTCACCGCGCTTGTAGTGCTGGTCACGGAACCTCGTGCGTTTTTGAGCTGACCCCCCCCCAAAAAAAAAGCGACAGCTGGGGAGTGCACTCGTTCAAGGCCGCTTCTGCCACTTCCAAGCCCTTCTGATCATCTTCGATCAAGCCTGAGCTGGCCATGAGTTCGCCAGCTTGAAGGCCAAACGAAGAGCGAGCTTGGATGCCAGCAGTGGGCTTTGACAAGCAAACGAAGCACGTTTGACCTTGGGTCGAGCGGTGGGTCAAAAGTCGATAAGCCCGATAAGCACGCATGAGCGCAAACAAATGCCAGGGGAGCACCACATTTGGATCACTCGCCTTTCTGCCCTTGAAGGCCCTACACTCCAATTGGCAAAGCACAGGTTCTAAGCACCAGGGGGACCAGCTGTGTACCCGCCTCCCTGCAGTACATGTTGGGCATCAGGACACACCGCCTTCAACCTATTCTTTACATGACAGCTCATGCGTAGTAGATTTGGCAGGCGGCACCCCTCCATGGTCCCTTTCGACCTTTCCTCCATGGGCCCTTTCGACGTGTTTGTTATGCTTCATTCAAGCAGCACATGTTCTTCATCGGGGGGCAGTGTTGGGTTACAACGCAACGCTCTTCCCCAATAACTGGACCAGCCCACACCTAGTTGTATAGGGTGTCGGGGGTGTTGCACCCTTGCCCCACTGCCAAATACCCCTTCATGTTCCCAGACCACGTGCCGCCCCGGGTTTTTTGACACAACGAACTCATACCTGCGGCTTCAGGGCGTCAACTACACTTCATTGCCGAACGCTTGCTCGGTCACTTCATTCTTCGTCAAGGCATGAATGCAAACCTTCAGCATCGTAACAAATACGACCTTGGGTTGCTCCCCTCACACCCGCTCCAACCACTGTTGTCCGAACCCACAGGATCACTTGCGCTCCTGATGCGCCCTAATGTTGAATGACTTACCCAACGCTATAACCCGACGCGATCCCAAAATGGAGGGCCTATGCGATCCAAGATTGAGTCTAAGCCAATCGTGTCCCGCAAATGCTCAGGAAGCAACTGCCCAAGCAGGCTGTTCTGGCGGCGGTAGATCGCCATGGCATCTTCTGCAGCCTCAGACGCAGCACAACATGGTCAAAGGAAGCTTACAAGGCTTCCGTACCGACACTGATTGAAAGCTAGCTCTCTGACAAATGTGTGTGTGTGTGTGTGTTTTATGTTCTCTTTTTATTGTCTCGTCAATCTTTTTCACTTCCTTCTTGGTAAAGAAGACGATATGTTATCTTTTTTTATCTTCCTTCTTTGTCTGTTCTTCCTTTTCTCCTCTTGCTTTTCGCCTTTTTTCTGTCTTCGTGCTTTTTCATTTATTTTTATTTGTCTGTTTTTTCTTTCTTTGTCTTTGCTAGCTCTCTCTCTCTCTCTCTTCCTCTCTCCCTCTCTCTCTCTCTCTGTCTCCCTCTCTCTCTCTCTGTCTCTCTCTCTCTCGCCTATTCCCCTCTCAAAAAAGAATGAATTTATTGGACAATTCCGCCCACTGGTTTCACCGGCTCTACTGGTAACATGTAGAAATCCAAACCACACAACCAAAGCACCGCCAGGCCTGCAGCATCAGCCCATCATCCTGATCAGACAAATGCGATGGCGCGTGCTGTCTAACAAGGCAACCAGCTCCCTGCCAACCAAAACGACATGACATTCATCGTTACCAGGCCTTGTTCATCTTGTGCCATTCGGCTAGGCTCATCAGCTCTGCAGCCTCCAGGAATTGCTTTCAACAACAAGCGATCCAGTGGACCTGATGGCTTCGTGCTCCCTGGCGAAGCTTTTCTGCGCGAAAGCGCGGAATTCTCCGATGCCGCCACGATCCGCGCTCTGAAAGCTGAGCATTGCCACTCGTTCCGCGAGGTGCCATCGGCGCAAAGTGAGCTCCAGGGATCCCCTTGGTTCATGCGAGCGACACACGTCTTGAAGTCACTCGCCATCCAGGCCCCATAGCCCAGCATCTCGTCGCCCTCCACGCTTCCAGTTGCTCCACATGCCGCACATGGAGAAAGCTATGTCTCGTGCCAGGGCAGAGTCGCCCGCAAAGCTCCCGCAGCCCGTCTCAGGCGAAGCAGCCATGCGGCTGCAGACCAGTATGTGGCGTCTGGTGCTGAAGACAGGCTCTCGGCCGAGGTGGTTGTATACTCATAGACCAGGAGTAGGCAGCGCCCTGAAAAGCCATGCGTGTGCATTCCTTGGCCAACTTTGCCAACCACTTGAAGCCCCATACAACTTAGAAAGCTTTTTACATCCGAGGATCTTAGACGGCGCCAAGCTCTGTTGTCCAGCAAAAGCAGGTCTCCAGCTGACAGCGGAATGCTTGCCAGGTTAACCTGCAGGAGGCACAAATGCTTGCCAGGGTCACCTGCTTGCAAACAGACCCAACAACACATATGGTGCAGCTTGCTTGCCACCTGCAATCAGTGGCCCTCAGACCTCCAGGCCTCGTCTGCCATGCCATCGCCAGTGTGCGAGCCCAGCAAAAGCTCCAAGTTTGCACCTCTACGTGGTGCTTTCTTTTCCCATCAAGTTAGAGTAACAGAATAAGCGACCGAGGGACCCCCTAAACTGAACCAATTCTCGAAGGTGTTCCGGTGCAAAGCCGGAGGCAAGAGACAGCGAAACAAAAGTTGCAACATCATTCAAGCCGCCAAGCTCCCCGTGCTCTTGGGACCCTGTAAGGGTTGCAAGATCCCAGCTTGCGCAAGCACTTGCTCTAGAAGGCAAATCTATCAAGGGCACCAGCACAGAAACGCCGCCCACCGGGCTTCGGCAGAATCCCAAAGACTGCTGTTGACGATCCCCGGTCCATGGCCAATCCACTGCTTGCTGCCAGAATGGTAGCAGCCTCTGGTTGGCCGCATCTCCCCATACCAAGAATCCTCGGTTCAAAATCACCTCTGCTTGCTCCTCCCTGCCGTCAGCGCTGTGTGAGCCCTCTCCCATGCGCTTGAGCAACGGCAGCCACATCTTCTCCGCTGAGCGCAGGATGCCCTTGCAAAAAGCCTTGGATGCAAGTGCCTTAAACAGCTACGCAACTTGTGCTGCGCGCAAGTCTCAGAGCCACATTTGAGCTACACGCGACTGAGCCGAGGGCCAAATCTGGCAGACGCCACGTGGCATCGGTGCTGAGCAGCTCGCTGGCCTCTCCGTGCGGCTGCCATGAGGCAGCAAGGACAGCTTGCCGCAGAGCTGCCTCATCCGGCATGATCCCCTCCTCAGTCAACTTGCTCCTGTCATAGAAGCACCAGCTTGACCAAATCGAATCCATGCTGAGCTTCGTCGGCTTCGTCGGCTCGCGCTCGCGCCCGAGCGCCAAAGGCCCAAAAAGCAACAGGGACAAAGCCGAGCCCCAACGACCCGAGGCATCGGGCTGTCGCTGGGCATCGGGCTGTCGCTCTTGGGGCTGCCCGGCCCAGCCAGCAGCCAAGGAGTCGGCTTCAAAGCGATGCCCCGGCATCAGCTGCGATATCCTCGCACCCAACGGTGACTTGCACAAGAAGCCCCAGGGACAACGACGTGCATAGAAATGTCTCATGCAGACCTAGAGTCAATACACGTGCCTTCCCCTTGCCCTTCATCGGCCTCGCATGAGTCCGGGAAACTGGCCCTACGTTCACGGGGCTGGGACGATGCCTCAGGAACGGGGGGACGCGCACCTCAAGTATGACGGCGCTGATCTAGCCTGACGCCGGGTCACCATGGAAGCATCGAACCACGCACCAGGAAATCAGACCCACAGTCTCACAATCACGAGCAATGGGAAAATGCACGTGTCCAAGACCAAGTGAACAAAAGAGCCAGCTTAAGATACTTAAATGGGCATAAAAGGGTGGAAAGGCAGACACCAGTGTTGCGACACGTAGCCCCTGCGTGGTTTCTGCCCCATGCTGTCCTGGAGCATGCGGTATCCAGTAAGGCCTGCACGCTGGGCTGCTTCATTGAGCGCAGCATGGATAGAACATAGCCCGAAGACTGTCCCACCAAAGCTCCGGCCAGGAATGACCCAGGGATTAGCAGCGGCATGGCCAGCGCCGAGCCAACTGCTGCTCCAGCAACGTCAAGATTGATGGTTCCAGAAGGCGCCAGCAAGGGTCGCCCTTGGAAGGTTATACCTCCTAAGAGTTCTGTAAGGTCCTGCTTTGCATTCTGCAGCTTGCTGTAGCAGGACAGTGGCACTGCGCCAGGCAAGATGCAGGCACCATATTTCTGTAGGCGAGCGCTGAAGGCTCTCTGCCGATCTTCACTGCCGACACGCAATGCCTGGACGGCTTTCTCCTCCTCCTGTTCCCACTGTTGCTGCAGCTCGGGCGACTTAAACAGCCAATAGCTGGCCCCAACTGCCGCGCCCAAAACGCTCTTCGACGCAGCTGCCCTCATGGCTGCATCACCACCAAGTGCCAGCTGGGACGGAGACGCTGCGGCTCACTTGCACTCCCTATTCCCCCCTCTGCACTGCACCCGCCCAACAAAAACCACCCGAAAACCAACCTACATCTAGCCTCAAACGAGTCTGCAGGCTAAATGATAGCGTGCCTCCTGAAAATGCAAGCCCATCTGACGGTAGATGGAACAGGCCTCCCAACGCTGCGCCCAGTGCCAAGCTTTCTGAAATTGCGTTGTGGGAATACCAAAATGTCGGTCAACACCGCCCCTGAGGACGCCTTCTGCGCAACGTGTTGTGTGCTTGCTGTTTTCTGTTCAAACAAGCTTAGCAAGCCCGCCTGATTGGAACATCGCACCGCCTGCAATAGGACTAGCTGAAGGCGCAACAGTTGTCCCACAGCAAGCAGCCCTCCAAACCACGAAGTTCTGCAGCCTCCTTCATGTCGTTGCAGAGGCCCGCCGCCAGAGCCATGAAGTGCAGCGACTAGGCAGCTGCACGCTCCAAAGCAAAGTCCGCAACACTGCTCCCTGCCTTGGCCTCCCCTCGCTTGTCCCCAAGCTGGCGAAAGGCCTCAAGCTACTCATAGCGGGGAGGATCATGGCTCCCCCAGAAAACATCTGACGATCCTACAAGGAAGCCGCCGCGCCTCCAAGGCTGCGCGGGCAGCCCGCATCATGTGATCGCTCTTCTGCGCATGCTCGTAGCTTTGCGCCTCCAGCTGCCACTCTCCGCACCAAAGCAGCAAGGCATGCCCAAGCTAAAGCGGAAGTTCGCGCATGCTGAGAGGGGGGCGAGCGTCAGAAGCGCCTCTGCCTAACAAAATCCGGGCTCTGCATGGCATGCCTGCGAGCCACATGCCCTTCCTGCCTTCAACGGCTTGTCCTGCAGCGGCTGGACCTGACTGCACGAGGCTGCGCCCGTTTATGGGGTGCACTGGTTGCCTTATGCCTCATTCAATGCCTGAGGTCAGGTCCAGAGCCAGCGCGGCCTTGGCCATAGAAACGACCTGCGGTGAAGCGGGCAAAAGCCCGAAGCGCCTTGAGCAGAGAGCACTGACAGCTAGGGCCTCCTTTGGCTTCACCGCCTGCAACATCTTCAGCTCCACCAGGGACATCATCATGGCTGCCTGTCGCGGCCAACCACTTTCAACCAACACTTGACCAAGGACCTCCACTAACGGAATACAACCTTCACATACCATTCATGACACAGGTCTTGTATATGTGGCACATATCAAAGGCATCCCCAAGAGACTCGACTGAGCCCTTAGGTTCCGATAATGAACTTTGGCAGTCCAGGGGTTCTGGAAGTGAAAGTTGGCTGCCGTTCTTGCCGGCGCCTCTCCGAGCTGATTCCCATTGTTGCGGCACCTGTCTAGCTCCTGGCAAGGACAGTGAGCAGCCATCTAAGGAACGCACGTCCGTAAATCATTGCTGCGCCCATCCCTGCAAACGTTCAATAACGCGCGGCCGCCCTGGCACCTGTCGCATTTTGCTCCGGCAGCTCATCCTGCACACTCCGCCAGCCATGCCTCTAATTTTCCCAGTAGCGCGGCAGAGTGGGCAGCAGATCAATGCCGAATTGGTACAAAATCGGCCGCCCGATGATGAAATACGACGCGAAGACCGAGAAAACGTTCAAAAACAGCCAGGCGCCGAGCACTTGGAGTCGCGCTCCCAACATGCCAGGCACCAGGGCTCCAGCATCTACCTTGCCGCTAGCACGACAGGCCGCCAGCTGCTTCTCGACCTCGTCACGCCTCACAGGGATCGGAAGAGATCTGGGCTTTGCCTTGTTTGGAATGGCCTCCCAAAAGGAAACTCACCCAGCAAGTGGTGTTTAGATCACTTGTAAAAAGAAAAAAGGAGGACGTGAACGCACTCTCATGTTTGGTCGTCTTTGGCATTTTGGGGTCCATACCGTCCATACCCTTTAGAAGCCGCGCCGTGCCATTCAGACTTCCGATACACCTGCACCCCGTCATGAGCAAACCCTAAACATTGACAGCCTCGTGGCAATGTAGGTGCCCCCTGTGAAGGAGTTGAAGACAGAGTCAATGGCTCTGTCACTGGCTCCCCGTGCGCGCAAGCTCTGCCGAAAGCTCTCTCGGTCCAAGCTGCCAGAATTCCGAGGCCAAACAGAGTCCAAATCGCAAAGCTCTACAACCTAGCGTCAAGCTCATACATCTGTCGCTGAAAAAAATAGCTACGATTTAGAAGACTCCCATTCAAACAAAGCCATACAGAACCAACAAACCAACAAACAGCTGGAAGCAAGAAAGCTGGTCTCTGAGCTCTCGGTCCCACCTTCTTTGTTTGATCCTCGGGCACTGTGAGGTCCAGCGCCCAGGTCAGTGGGTCGTAGCCGTAGCCCGAGCGCCGCAGAACAGCCGGGCGCCGAAGGGTCGGGCGCCACTGGACGAAGCACGGAACCGCAACCATCAGCACCGCCCAGCGCGCCATGGCGCCCGAGCGGCGGGAGTGTGCCATGGCTGCCATGGCCGCTTGCCCTGAAAGCGGCAAATAATCGACATCCCATCCGAAGACCTCCAAAATCAAATGCAAAAGCTGGCCAACCAATGCATGACTTGCACACCTCGGAGGCTCGGAGATAAGCGTTCTCCAATTCCTCCCGGGCCTCGGGGCAAGGAGAATGGGCGGGTGTACGCGGAGGGCCTGCTGCAACTTATGCACGCGGCAAATGCTTCAATCGGCAGGCCTGGTAGGCACTAACTATACATCTCAACGATCTCGCGATGCCGCCCCTGCGCTCATGTACATGCACGATCTCTGACAACCCGCGGCAATCATCTGGCAAACCAAACTGAATCAGAGCCCATGCGTTGCTCAAAACTGGTCTCATGGCTCACGCGCCACGCCTGTCGCCTATCTCCCTGAAGAGGTTCAAGGCATCGGTCGCTGCCTCGAGCGTCGTGGCAGCAAGGCGACGCTCAGACGTGCTATTTGGGCTGCGGACTCGCTCGGCTGCCTGTGACAATGGCTCATGGACAACCTCCAGCCCTGGAACCCACCAAATGGTCACAAAGGTCTGCGCAAGTGGCCTGCATGGCGTCTCCATCCATAGCCTCCTGAGCATCGTTCAGGAGGCTGGTGGCCTGCAGGCACATGCTACAAACCGCAAGCCATTTCTGATTAAATCAAAGCGCCTCTTTGCGCAGCTGCTCCCTGCTCTCATCCAGAAAGTCTGGCGACGGATCAGCCTCAGCACCAAGAAGGCCAAAAGCCCTGCATCTTCCAAAGCCCCCGACATCGGCCAGATCAGCCAAGGAGATGTTGCGCTTCACAGCCTGAGTGCGATGGGGACATTCCTCGCGCGACTTTCCCATGCGCTCAGCCCTGCCAAACACAGAATGCAACGATGCCCCGTGAACGCCTTCGCAGGTGAACGTGGCGACCGTAGCGGCCGAGGCGAGGCAAACGGAGATGCAGCGCGCGGCGCCATCGCAGGTGCTGCGATTTCAATTCAGAACTTGCAGCACTTGCAGGTAAAATGGGCTTGCACTGAATGATTAGAGGGAAAAAAACACCTCATCTAGGAAGCACGGCGAAAATGTGGGCACGCCAGATTTCCACTGCCGCCTTTTTGCTGCCATTGTGACCCCCCCCCCCAAACAAAAAAAAAAAAACAGGAGTAGACGAGTCCGCATACATCCCGCACTCTACAATTGCGAGCCAAGCCTGCAATTTGAGAGGACCAGTGGGATTCGCTTGCGCATTGCTTCAAGCACCACTCGCCAGCGGCCTTTTCAAACGGGTCAAGTCTCTCTCTTCCCCGGGGTTCGAAGCGGCGCAACCAGACCTGCAAACAGTGCACCATGGCATTCCGAGGTGGTTGTGACGGTCTGAGTTCTGCACGTTCCGCCACGACCTCTTCGAAGACCTCTTGGGAAAAGCGGTGGCCTCGGCTGACTTGTGGATCGTGGAATCCCCTTTTTTGCATGAGAGCTCAGGTGCTCACGCACTGCCTCCCGCGCCGCAGCAGCCATCTCAAGCCGCTGTCCGGCACCTCGGATCCCGCGCGCTTCGCTTGACCTGTACCAACCTATAAAGCTGCCCAGCGCGTACTGCCTTGCTGGGGGAATTTCCGCGGGGATCGCTCAGCACCAAGCTCATGTCATCCAATACCACCTTCAGCTGCCTGGCGTAGTCGTCGTCATCCTCAAGGCACCACGGGCGGGAGGATGTTCTTTGAGTAGCTGCATGGACTTGAGGCAATGGCGGTTGCGAGCAGGCCTGTCCGCCTACCATCTGGCAAGGGAGTCACCTGCACTTGTGCGAACTCGCTTGGGCATTTGAACTCCAAATGCAGGCCCCGGGCAATATCCATGGCTGGGCCAGCGGAATTGTGAGCTACGACCTTGCAAAAAGCCAGCAACCATCTCTAAGCGTTTCCTAAATTGAAAAGCCCCTTGCGACGGCTCCGGCAGCCATGAACTCAACCACACTGATGCCGAAGTGTTCATCCCTCATGGTGTGCAATCCTTGGTCTCAGGGATGATGTTCATCTCACTGTTCGTTCGCACTCAAATCAGGAACTGGCAGTACCGCATATTCCAACATGTGAAACTGAGACCACAAGCCACAAACCCTTCAGGGCCATGACCCACGTCTGCTTGTGCCAGCAGCTTCTGCATCTCCTAGCCCAGGGCATGCGCGCGCTTGAACTGTTTTCCCGCATAAACATTTTGGCACGGGAAAGAATCAGCGGGTCCTGCAAGGGCACATTTGTCTTGAAACTGACCTCAGCATCTGTCCGAGCTTCTAAGGCACCTCGCCCAACATAACTGTGACTGTGGCATTCCAATCGGCTGCCTGACCGTCCTCTCGCAGACCCAGCCTAGCAAAAGGCAAATTCTACATGGCTGCCATGGTTTCAATCCCGCTCGAGGCCACTGCTCCGCAGCCAGTTTCTGCAAGTCTTTCACGCGTGCAGCATCCGCCTCATCCCGGC